GTTTTTGGTTTTTTCGAAGTACAGTTATTCAAAAAACATACATTTTTTTTACTGGTGGTAATAAGAGTTCAAACCTGTCACTGAAAAACACTGAACGGCAATGTTTTAGTTATTGCCTAACACAATCATAAGCAATAAATCTTGGCAAGAAAAGAAAGCGTTTATATATCTGAATAGTATTATTATCATTAGGACTACTACTACTACTACTACTACTACTACTAATACTACTATTACTACTACTACTACTACTACTACTACTACTATTACTACTATTACTACTATTAATACTATTAATACTAAAAACAAGTTTATCAAGTCGAAAACAAAAACACACCATTTTCTCAGTTCAAAATTCAGGTAGAAAAAATGAAAAAGTATTGACATCAAAACAACAAAATAATTTCGGTGTTTTTTATAATTGAACATAAAAAGAAGAATTTCAAATTGCGCGGTTTTCTTTTTTTCATTTTGTCTAATGTTCATTTATATGATTCAATAGTGAAAGTGAATTTTATTTTTTTTTCCTTACTGCTTTTAAACATAAACGAAAATATACTAAAACAAGATCAATTTTTTATTTCCGAAAAAAAAAGAAGATTGAACAAGAGAAGAGAAAAAGAACTTCGTTATCAATCAATCAATCAGTTAGTCAGTGTTAAGTTCGTCATTAGGTACGCTTAAAGCTACTATTACGGGTTTACCTTGGTCGATAAACGCGAACGAGACAATGAACTAGCGTCCAGGTAGGCTAATGTGATCCGAAAACGGCAAAAGAGTAGTCTTGATGTAACGTAGAAAGTATATTCTACAAACACCCAGTCAGCACAATACAATCAAGCATACAACTCTCGTTTATTTATACAACATAGGAACGTCCTTGAGACAGTTAAGAAAATAGCATACTAAAATACAACACAGCAGCCAATCATAGCCATGGATTTTCCTGGTGGGAAATGAAATCCCAAGGTCAACTGATCATCCCATGCTCGCAAATGTGAAATCCAAAATTAAGGCATTTATCAAGCGAGTTCTGGGGATCTAACATCCCCAACAGTCAGCTAAAACGTAGAACTTCATACTTAGATACATCAGTTCAAATTACCATATCAGATTAACACACACAGAGGTCCAAATTTGTCAATTCAAATCCCAGTGTAGTAAAGGTAGTAGTAGTGTGGTGTACGCTACTTATATTCACATAAGTAGTATATGATATGAAATGGAAATCAGACGTCTGACAGCAAAAAAGATCGAGAAGGAAAGAATGAGAACAGAAGGCGATTTGTAGGTAAGGGTCAAGTGAACTGAAGTATTAACAGTCTAAATGAACACTGAACACTGAAACAAAAATAAGGATTAGTTTGCAAATGATGATTTCACGGGAAGGTTTTGTACATATGCTTAACAGTCAGTCAGTCAGATGCAACGTAGAACTTCGTACGTAAGTACATCAGTTCATGTCGCCATACCACATCAGCACAGAGATGTAATTGTCAATTCAAATCCAATAGTAGTAGAGGTAGTAAGGGTATTAGAAGTAATCGGAGAGGTTAGGATTAGAAGATATTATTCACGAAGTATGATTCAATGAAAAAGTTTAGAAAGTCAAAACTAGAGGTGATAAAGAACCCAGAAGATTAGGATTTGAGAGAACACAAAGAATAAATGCACCGGCGCCATTGCGAACGATTTTGAGCCATGTCATTCAAGGTCTCTAACCATCGATTATTATCATCTCGCAGACCCCAACCAGGTAGTCGACAATTACCGACATGGCTAAGTCCACTCGTCTTCCTATATGGCATTCATCAGTTGGATGTACTCTTGCTACTTGTACTAGATGTTTACAGTTTGAGACTGGAAACTAATTGTCTATCATTTTTAATGCTAACACGTATATAACTAGGGTCGTAATAGTTTGAATCAAACAATGCCATACAGAATAGTATTTTTAAAATATTTATTGACAAATAACTTATCACACTGTATGTAATTATTTCATAAAGTAATCACTACAAAATATGTTTTAGAAAAGATGTGAAAATAGTCTAGACGAAGTGTGTGTGTGCATATATATATATACATATATAGCTAGTTTTTTGACGATTTCAGTAGTATACAACATCTCAAGTTTATGGAGAATCGATACAATGTGGCTGGCCAGTGGAATCCATGATGCGTGCGTTTCATTCTACTGAAGAGTTTTCAACTGGATTTGCCTGCCACATCTCAAAGCTGATATTCACTAAGAGGCTGAAATACCATCGTGTGATCCTCTCTAGCTACTGAGTTCAGATAGCCAATTACTTGTGCAACACGTATGCGAGCATTCAATGACGTTTGAATGTGGTGGTGTGTGGTTCTCTGAGCTGGGTGTTTTGGTTATGGAGCTTCCATTGTTCTTCTGAACAGCATCATCAGCACAAACTTTAGATAGAAGTGAAACATTCGAATTTCTCTACGTTTGACCTGTGGCTTGTTCAGCTAACCTCGATCTTGATTGGTTGCTGTTGACATTAAACCTGTCGTTGTTTGCACCTTTGTTTTGATTGCATCCCCCTTTTGATCTGTTTCTTGTGAACAGCAACCAATCAAGGTCGAGGTTAGCAGAACGAGCTACAGGTCAAACGTGGAGAAATTCGAATGTTTCACTTCTATCTGAATTTTGTGCTGATGATGTTGTTCAGAAGAACAATGAAAGCTCCACAACCAAAACACCCAGCTCAGAGAACCAAACACCACCACCACAATCATCCACCTGAGCTACAAATCTTCTCCACCATCTCAATGACATTTGAAGCACATGCACTGGGTTCGAGTCCCGAAGTGACCATCAACTCCGGAATGCAGATACACTCAGCTATCAAGTCTCAAATAGAACAAGATGCGCTTACTGATGACCATCATCCATCTAAGCTAATAATAGGTAGTTCAGTTTAAAAAGTACAAAAACTACCCCACAAATAATTTCAGTGATACATACAATGTAGACTCAGCAAATGTATACGTTGGTTCAAGTTGTCAAAGTCAATCAGTTCAAGTTCCCATTCCACACTAGCACGAACAGATCGAATTGTCAATTCAAATCTGATTACAGTACAAGTAGTAGAAGTATTAGAAGTAATGGAAAAAATTAAGGACCGAAGATATGATTCAAGAAGTATGGTTTTCAATGAGATAACTTTAGAAAGAGAAAGACAGAGGTGATGAGGAATTCACGAGGTTAGAATTTGAGAGAGCACAAAAAGTGGATGCAACCGGCACCAGTGCAAACGAATTTGAGTTATTTCATCCAAAGTCTTTAACCATCGGTTAATTTGCCTCGTGGAGCCCAACTCTAGGTAGTCTACATCTAACAACTTTGTCAGTGACTTCATGAATCTATGCTGTGTTTCTATTTGGCTTGAGCCTATGCGCACTGCTACTGATTTAAAATGAAGAGGTTTTCCAACTCCCTTGGATGGATCCTCGATACAAACCAATACATTTAAAGCGTCAGGCACTCGCTTTCCCTCTTCTCCATTTCATGAACAGCACCTGTGCCACGAGAAGGCAGCCAATAGTATTTCTCTGGTAAGCTTGGTTGTATAAGATTATTTGAAGAGAGAGAGAACTCTCCTTACTTCCGATTGTACTAATCATCAACCTCACTATTCTAAACATAGTTCGGAAACGATGAATTGAAATTGTTGGTTATGTGGTGATTGGCATTACGTACGATTCTGTCCATTTAAAAAACATAAATGTCAGATATGCAACAAACGCGGACATAAAGAAGGCCATTGTCAATCAAATCGTACGTCTCAGCCCAGGAAGAAGCATAAACATAGTCGACATGTGGTGAAATTAGCCGAGTCTAAATCACTTTCTCTGGTAGCTGCTTTTGAAAACAGACTATGACGTTCGGAGAAAGTATGTTACTATCCAGCTAAACGGTGCATCGGCTCGCTTTCAAATCGACACGGCATCAGATATCGTCTTAATGTCTAGAGAAATGTATAACTTGCTGGGAAAACCGCCAATGAAGCCATCTAAGAAAACAGCTAAAAGCGCCTCAGGTGGTGTGTTAAAACTGGTTGGTGAGATTTTCCTTCAACGGAACAAAATGTACAGGAATATGCTATCTGACAAAACGGCCAAACCTTGGTCTTCTTGGTCTAGATATGCTAGAAAAACTGGGAATAATGGGTTTACCCATTAACAGTGTCTGCAGCATGTCGTGTTCATCATTGGACACCCCGATACTTACAAACAAGACAGGTGAAAGGTTACAAGATAAACGGAAGAGGAAGTCAACCTCTGTTTTTCAGAATAGCCTTGACCGCTGTACGAATACGAAAGCTCACCTACCAGTGAAAGTAGATGTCAAACCTATTTCACATCCGAGACGCCCTATACCAAATGCTGTTCATGAGCCTTAACAAAACTTATAGATGAGGAAGCAGCCCAATCGACGGTTGTTCACAGATATGGCTCCTACAAAAGCAGGCGGCTCGTAAGAGTACGGATGGGAAGGCACCCAGGAAGCAGTTGGACTCTAGCACCAGATCCTACGAATTTTTCTCAAAGGAGAGGTGTTAGTGGGACATAGATGGAATTAAAGCATGACTACGTTGCTACGCGCTGATTGACTAATTTCCTATCCAATCAGCGCCTGATCGATTCTCGTGTTGTTAGCTGCACGCTGATTGGTTAAATCTAATCCAGTAGATCACGTGAATTTCTATCCAGAAGCTTCTCATGTAAATGCTATGAATAGACTAACGTTGCCTTCGCCATCACCTTTGGCTTCTTATTTTCATTTAACCTTCCTATTTGCGAATATAATCTCTTGCCTGTTCAACCGTGTTTTTTCGATTCTTTGGAACACTTGTCCAGTGTATTGTGTGGTCAGAGAATACTAAACAATAGGATTTAGCTGGGAATAATTATATAAGCGAACTGTTACAACAGAAGTAAACAAAAAACTCATTCATATTTCATCAATACTTACTTACCTCATTATTATTTTTTATCACATTACTACCATTATTATTGCTACCATTCTCTACATTTTTGTGTGATAATTTCTCTTGAAAATCACGTACAATTAAATCAGCTAATTCAGCGGCTTTTTTCATTTTCATAGCAAATTCTTGTAAACTTAATTGAAAATTCCAATTTGATGAATAGTCAAATGAACAATAATGTAACTGATTAAAATTACATTGATAATTATTCGTGGCATTCAGTAATAATTCAATAAAATGTTTCTCTGGTGATGAATGATTAATAATAACAGTTTGTTGAACAAGTAAAACATTGTTGCTTTGAGCAGTAGTAGTAGAAGAATTTATTGACAAATTCAAATGAGTTGAAGAGATCAGTAAAACAAAATAATGTAATACGATATAAATTAATAATAAATGCATAGAAATGCGTAAATTATTCATTTGTTTAAAATATTTCAAAAATGTGTTACATGTGTGAATGGATTGACAGAAGTAACAAACAAACAACAAATGGGGATTCAATGTTCAATATGAATGAAATTGAAAAATGAACACCATTACTATGTAATATTTATTATAATATACATCCATTTCGTTGGAATTAACTTAAAAAAATAAAGAGGAAGCAGAAAAAAAGAAGAGAATAGAATGAAGAAAATTATTGATCAATTTGTGTTTTAAATATAAACAAATAATCAGTGTGCTTAATTTTATATACAAAAGTTCATTTTCATTTTTATTTTTAAAAATATATCCGCATTAAATGATTGTTTATATTATAAATGATGTTACTGATTTGGAGTAGTAAGATCGTAGTTGCGGTTTTACCTCGTCGAAATGTAAAATGTTGTTTCAAGATTGGGTTTGTATCGGTGGTACCTGAACTAGTGTGATAGGAAGTGTGAAATAGTCGAACGTGTAGACTGCTTCACTTATCTTGGGAGTCTCATCAGTGTTGATGGCCTAGTTTGTGATGAAATCTCGGCATGGATACAGAAAGCTCGATTGGCTTTTGCTAACTTGTGTCACTTATAACGAGGGGGAGATATCCGTTTGCTGACTAAAGAACCAGTGTACTACGCACTAGTTCGCTCCGTTCTACATTAAGGTTGTGAAACATGGACAGTAAGAGTAGAAGATATTCGTAGGTTACCAGTTTTGGTTCACAGACCTCTTAGAAGCACTGCTCGCGTATTGTGTGACAACCGAGTAAGCAATGTTGGTGTTAGGAAACGAGTATTAGGTAGGGAGGACAGATCAATAGATGAAGTAATGAAACTTCATCTGTTGAGGTGGTTGGGACATGTGTTACGCATGCCTAACCGCCGAATGCCTCGACGAGCTTTGTTTTGTAGTGTAGGAGTAGGTTGGAAGAAAGTTAGGGGCGGCCAGACCAAAACATGGCACAAATCCATGAAGTCATTGACTAGTGGACTGAGTCACGTCGGTAGTTGTCAACTAGCTGATTGGGGTCCGCAAGATGATAATAATCAATGGTTAGATACCCTGAATGACATGGCTCAAAATCGTTTGCAATGGCGCAGATGCATTCATTCTTTGCGTTCTCTCAAATCCTAATCTTCTGGATTCTTCAACACCTCTAGTTTTGTCTTTATAAACTTACCTCACGGAATCATACTTTTTGAATAATATCTTCTAATCCTAACCTCTCCGATTACTGCTAATACCTCTACTACCTCTACCACTATTGGATTTGAATTGACAACTACATCTCTGTGCTAATGTGGTATGGCAACATGAACTGATGTACTTACGTACGAAGTTCTACGTTGCATCTGACTGACTGACTGACTGAGTTTCAGTTAGCCAAAACGCCTTTATCCCCGTTGGCTAAGTTAGCCTCCCTTTATTATGAGTGCATTTAAACAAGTTCAACCGGGATAGACTTGCACCGGTCTTCTTTACATTAACATCAACCAGGAGTCAAATGACTCCGATAGCGTGTCGAAAGTATCTGCTACCCAGAAAAAGATTGTTCTGGCATTCTTACACTTGTCCGCAGTTATTATACAACTTCTTTAAGTTACTAATGACATAACATTTTAGCCACCACCAAACAGTACTTCTAATCTATTGGAATTTCGATTTTTTTCGTCCACAGAGGAGCAGTTATATACCTAAAAAAACATGTCTTTTACAAGAAGATATCAGAGATCGATTCATTGGATAATTCAATCATGTTTCAGACGACCAAAGTGAACAGTTGAATGGATGGCAACTCAAAATTATCTCAAGGATATAATCTGATATACACCCGTAATTGTTCATTAGCTGTATCTTACTGAGTTAAAGTGAATAAAAGAGGTCTCAGTAAACGTTAGTTTTATAGAAGTATAAAAAGTAATGATGTACTATTTTAATTATGGCCTTTTCGGCTTTTTAACACTGAAATTTATATCCCTACTAATAACTGAAAATGACGTTAGTAAAATTCCTGACATCATTAAGACACAGGGTTTTATACATGATTTAAGAAATAGATCAAACAAACGTTGTCCAAAAAATGATCGACCAAGTTATGATTTTAAGTATTAACATTTTTATTTCTATATCCAAAGCAAATCAGGATACTTTGTGCAACATGACCGTGAATTCCAACTCACCCCATAACTTTTTATCATTTCGCATTTTGTGTTTTACCTCGTCATAATTGTATTTGTTTACAACATATCAGAGTATACTCAATGATGAGGAGGACTGCAACTGACGGATTACTATCTGATGAAGAGCTAAATGCATCAATTATTATTTAAAATGTTGATAAATTCTTTTTTAAATGTGAATATTTATTACTAACGTATACTACCGTTAAAACAAATCAGGAACTGATACATTTATTTGCTTTACGTATACAACAGAGTTTATCAGTTGCGACGAGTAAAAATCGATGTCACTGCAATTATTATCTTTTATGTTGCTTTTGTTAACTACTATTAGACAAAACAAATTATTTATTCTGTGACAGTTATCATTCTTAAAAGTCTCTATTTACTAAGAATATAGAAAAACTTACTGGCTATGTGGGGAACAAGTGAAATAAGGCTAAAAGTAGACAATTTTGTGCTGATTAGTAAAAAATGGACAGTTTAGTGAACCGAAGCAAAAGTTATATGGTTTTGCGTTAACTTAGGCACAAATAAGACAATTCAGTGAGTTTACGGGAAAAGTAGATCAGGCGATTATGAAGGTGTGAATTCTTAGACTTTTGTCTCCGTAAAATTTAATCAATGTTACCTGAATTCACTCAGATTTTCTCCACCATTGTCACCCGTTTCCCCAAACTTACTGAATTAGAACATGCTTGAGGCTTCACAGGACATGCTACGAATATAAACCTGATAATTTGAATAAGTTTCAGAAACCATGATATTCAAGAGGTGACGACTAGTAAGACTATGAACTATCAAATAAGCGGATAGACGAATTTTTTATACATATTCTAGTATCATCACCTAAAGAGAATACCTAACAAACATGGTTATACGCCAATCGGTGCAAAATAAGATATTTATTCTTTAAAAGGCAAAATGTTTACAAAAATAAGGGGCGAAATCACAAATAAATATTATAAAAGCTGACCTCCTCAAGGACATTAAATAAATTGACCGCGTCATTATCGAACTGTGACCCACAAACAGAGCAGAAAGAGTGCAAGCAAGCTACTATCCAAAACATCGACTGGTTTATTAATTAATGCATACTGTGGAATGGAATAATGATCTGCATCAGCGATTTTGAACATAAAACATCAAAGCTGTATGACAACTCTATATTGCGTAACGCCACGACCGAAGGTCAACAACCCAGTCAAACCTGATATCAGGAATAATGAAGCTTAAAGATACTTTCAAGACATCTGAAATATGTGAAAGCTTGCAGCTTGATCTGGCTAACCTTTGCGATGGTTGTGTAGTCGTGATCTTGTTCGACTGCTCGACTGAGCGACTTCAGTTAGGGTATTTCCATAAAAACCTACGAGGTCAGTATTAATGTCAAAGACTTACTGGGCGATCTATTTTGGGAGTGTTATCACCACTATTATCCCCAACCCTCTAATAGGTTATTGATGACCCTGTGGTGTGACCATCCAGAAATTCAAACCTAAGGTACGTGCTGTTGTTACACTTTGCTGATAGACTGTCTTCCAACATAGTTTCAATATATTCTTCAAGTTTGTGATTTACCTTGGGTATGTTGTGTAGGACAGCGTTCTGAATGATCTTGTTCACTATTCGCCATTTTCCATCTACTGTTAGCCTTTACATTGCCGTGGCCATAGGGGGAAAGTAGAAGATGCTCGATAATACACGTGTAGCATGCACTAATGTAGCGAAGGTAGGGCTTGTTCCGTCCCATGTTAAAAATGACTGTATCATGGAAAACGGACAGCCATGCTTAAGTTCAGATTCTGATCATCTGATCCATCTGAGAACATATTTTCCTAAGAGAGACCGTTACCTAAGACTGCCCTTGTAAGCAGCTTAGCGTGGATCCAGTAACTTTCCCCACAAGTCCTGTGACTGAGAGTGAATTATTTCGTGTATGATCTACAGAGATATCAGAGAAAGTGCCAAACAGTACAATGGAGAAGTCCGATTTCTAAAAATTTTCTCCTTAGCTGAATTTGGAGATAGTTATTGTTTTAGGTAAGTCTCTTGCAGTACAAAAGATATGTAACAAGATTGGTAACTTTTTAGACAGCTTGCAACTATTGTGAATACAGGGAACCCTGATATCATTCTGATTACGGAAACACGAATGACGTCGAAAAACCTTATATATGAACGTCGTATATGAAGCAGATAATAATAATTAATACGGACCCATCCTGAAGTGTGGTACATATGAATCCCTTTAAACAGTCCTGAAGACTGAAAAATCAGTCGAAAACCAAGGCAACTTGGTATCGCTTCTGGAAGTTTTATAAGCAAGTAACTCAATAGTTTATGCAGTTTGTATGGTCGAACTTATGGAGACAGAGAATGCAGGGAGAAATTACAAACTTATCTAATCACGAATCGTCTTCATGAGGTGAAAACGAAGATCACCCGGCTCACACTAGAGTTAAGTATCCAAGGTAGGGTAGGTATCAGTTTCAAACACTTTTTTGAATTGCTGTAAGACCCAGTTAATAATAATAATAATAATAATAATAATTTATTCTCAAATAACAAACATGTTACAAGAGACATGCCAATTTACAGGCAAGATCAAAATGTTAAGATTAGCAACATATTTTTTTCTGAAAACGGTATAAAGTTACTGAAACATTTCACAAGATTCATTGTTTTCTTAAAGATGGAATGTACAAAGCGATCAATTGGCGCAAGTTACGAAGGTTGCGTTACGACAATCATCTTATGGGCTGAGAAATGATTCATGGTACAGACAGGTTTTCATATAACAAGAATTGATGCGGTAAATGTACAAAGGTATGGTTGATATTCGTCAGCTAATGATTTCACATGTTCTTGGCTAGGGTAACCAAGTCTACTGCAAATATCCAGACTAATATATGTGGATTG